CACAGTCCCAGACGGTACTTGCTTGACTGGACCCAACTGGCTGGACTGGGACTGCTGACTCTGCGTGGTGGACTTCCACCACTTGCCCACTTGCCTAGACCTACAGTGGGCTGACTTCCGAAAGGCTACTTCTAGAAACCTCTATCTGGCCTTTCGGTACTGTAGCAGCTACGACTCTGCCCTTTCAGGTAAGTAGCAGCTACGACTTTGACCCTTCGGACAGTCTACAGCTACAACCTCTGGACTGTCTAGACTCCTACCCGACAGGTCTACAGTTCGAATCCCCTATACCCTGTAACCTACGAGATCCTACCTACCACTGGCAGTCCTACAGGTCGCAGGTTCAAATCTACGGGTTGACACAGTTACTGTACACATGTAAGGTGGGGAACTAGGGATTGAGCCCTGGGATCTGCATCAGCTACTGCGAAGTGGTGAATACCGTTTCACTCCCGCCGGCCTAAATTCGAGGTCCTCCGAGAAAATTTCAGTCCAAGGCAGGACCTTTACCTTTCTGTTGCCTCTCGTAGGCCCGGACTATATCGGGAGCTGTCTCTAGAAGTTCCGATCTCGTAAACCAGCGGTCGTCTTCCGGCTCTTGATAAGCAAAATGAACCTTGTACTGTTTCTGTGGACAACCTCTACCTCCAGTCCTGAATACATCTTCAGCCACTATGCCATCGATGTCATACCTTCCATCCATATCTGGTGGGATCATAGACCTACGGGATGGGAACTGATCACTTGTTTGACAAGGTAACAACTTCGACGCATGGAAAACTGGGTAAGTGTGGAGGTGTGCTGGGATTTCTATGGTATAGGACGGTCCATCTTCGCCGCCCTTGTCTTCCAGAACCGGCCACGGTCCTCTATACGTAGGCAGTAACTTCTGCGAAATATTCTCTTCAGGCGCAAACTCTTTAGACTGGACCCAGACCAAGTCGCCTACTTGGAATCGTGAAGGGCGGCGGTGCTTGTTCGCCTGTTAGATCATGCGGTGCTGGGCCTTCCTGAGATTCTCAACAACAGTTGCTATCTCCTTCTCGTGCTGAATCGCAAACTCCCGTGTACCGGGCGGTAGCCTGTGAATCTGATCCCGGTTAAGTCCCTCAAATGGTCTTCGTGGTCTAAAGGACTTATGGAGCTCGTTGGGAGTGCGGCAGGTTGACAGGTGCAGGTTGTTGTTGTATGCGCTGGCTACCTTGGGAAGCATCTCATCCCAATTGACTTGATCAGGTCTAATGTACATGCGCAGGACTTGCTGCAGGATCTTGTTCATCTGTTCAGTCTGACCGTTCGTCTCTGGGTGACGGCCAGATGACATCAACAACTTGGATCCGTAGACTCGCATCAATTCCTGCCATTTTAGACTTGTGAACCGGGTATCTCTATCGCTAACTGTAGACAACGGAACCCCGTGTTCACTGACCCAGTGATCAAAGAACTTCTGAATTACTAATTTTGTTCTAGCTTCTGACGACAAGGGAACAAAAATAGCATACTTACTAAATCTGTCTACCACGACCATAACTTGGCTCTTGCCGTGCCTACTCTTAACGCCGGTGTCCATGAAGTCAATAGACACCGAATCGCCCGGCTGATCCGGAATGGGTAAAGGTCTGAGAAGACCTAAAGGGGCACGCGTAGTTGACTTATTCCTCTGACAGACTTTGCAACTGCGAATATACTCTATGCAGTCATTTTTCATTCCTGGCCAGGTGTACGCGTGCATCAGGTTGGCTAAAGTCTTCTGCCAACCAAAGTGTCCTTCGGTGTCGTGACATTCCCCCAAGATCAGACTCCGGATCTCTTCACTGTTGGGGACGCATAAACGGTCTGCTACATTAGTCTTCTCAAACAACAACCCATCAGTAGTGCGGTAATATGACTCGGACTCTGGGGCTTCCTTAACTCTCTTAAGGAGCTCACTATAGATGGGGTCCTGCGCGTACGCCTCTTTAACTTTTTGTTGTAGGTCGGACCCTATATCTAGATAATGGACTATGGCCCCAAAGTAATTAGCTCTCCTACTCAGAGCGCCCGCAGCTACGTTATACTTCCCTTTGACTGGCTTGAGCTCAAAATCATACTGGTCTATTTCTGCGGCCCACCTAGTAAGCTTAGGTGTTATCTTGGCCTGCGTCTTCAACCATCTTAATGTTTCGTGGTCAGAATAGACTTTGAAGTGCCTCCCAAGCAAGTAGTGTTTCCAATGTTCTAATGCTTGCCTGAGAGCGTAGAGTTCCCTCTCGTAGGTAGATGTTGCAACCTTCTCTGAAGGCATCCTGACAGACATGAACTCTACGGGCCTATAACCATTGCCATCGTCTTGCTGCAACACAACACCTATGCCGTACTGACTAGCGTCCGTAGTAACGACAAAGGGTAAGGACGGGTCGGCTACCTTAAGGACTGGGTACTCTATCAATGCCTGCTTCAACTTCTTCATGGCAGACGTGCAGTCCTTATCCCACTTCCAGATTGTTTCTTTCCTCAGCAATTTGCGAAGGGGCGCAACGATGGTGGAGAAGTTCCTCACGAACTTCCTACAGTAGTTAGCTAAACCAAAAAACGACCGCAACTCCATCAACGTGCGCGGTGTGAGCCAATCTCTAATCGCTGCGATTTTGCAATCTTCTGGCTTGACGCCGTCTCCGTCTAAGACGTGGCCTAAATATAAAACTTGGGTCTTCGCCCAATCACACTTCTTTGCATTGATCTTGAAGTTAGCTTCTCTTAGCTTCTCCAAGACCTGCCTGAGATGACCCTGATGTTCTTGGAGGGTCTTGCTAAACACTAAAACATCATCTAAGTAGACAACAACAGATCTATCTAACCATGGCCTAAACAAATCGTTCATACAACGCTGGAACGTAGCTGGCGCATTGGTTAGTCCAAAGGGCATCACTATGAATTCGTAGTGCCCATATCTAGTCCGGAAAGCTGTCTTGTACTGATCATCAGGATGCACCTCTATTTGATGATACCCGGACTTCAAATCTATCTTGGAGAAGTACTTTGCCCCCTGCACTCGATCTAAGAGATCGTTTATCCTAGGCAGTGGCTCAACATTCTTTACTGTAATAGCATTCAGACCCCTATAGTCTATACACATTCGCAGTTCTCCCTCCTTCTTGGGGACAAAGAGGACAGGTGCTCCAAAAGGAGACGAACTGGGTCTAATCCATCCCTTCTCAAGGAACTCGTCCAACTATTTGCGAAGCTCCTCTAACTCCCGCGGAGACATCCCATACATAGCTCCTTTGGGAGTTCTACTGCCAGGCTCAATCTCAATGCGGTGCTGGATAGGTCGTGGTACTACTCCTATTGGCGGCTCAGCTAGATCTTTAAACTCCTCCAGCAGCTTGGCAATAGCAGGGTCTATAGGCTTCTCTTCCTTAGGCTCAGTTACTGGCCTAACATAGGCTACAAAAACCTGTTCCTCTAGTTGCTCCTTCTTTACTAACCTTGCAAACGCAGAAGCACTAAGGCAGCAATGCGCCAGGGGGTTCTCTACCCCTGACACATGGAACAGACGGGCAGTCTTGACACCGCCTGACGGGCTAGGGAGCCTACACTCGTGCTCTCTCAAGTGGAGTGTGGCCCCTGCTGCCTCTCCCCAGTCCATACCTAGGACTATGTCAAACGGGAGGCTATCCTCTACGAGGAGAGTCAGGGAGTGGAGAACCTTCTCCACTTTCTCATCCTTCTCTAGGCGGAAATACGCCTGGTCTCCTTCTACGTAATCCTCTACAACCATAGTACGATTGTCCGCGAGTATACTAACTATGGGGTCTGTTAGTTTCTGGGCTTTAAGCCCCAGCTTCAATTTCTGCAGCGCTTTCTTACTAATATAGCTGCGGGTGGCCCCTGAGTCTACTAGGGCCCCTATTCTACCTCTAAAAATCTTTGTATCTAGTAATATAAGCTGCCCTTTATTCTCTTTCTTCATCTTGGCCCAGGAGGGCATCCTCTCCTTCAATTCATCAGCCACGCCTGTGAGGGAGGTGTCTAGAGAGACTCTAACACAAGCAGTCTTTGGACAGCGATCTAGACACCGACCTGCAACCTCTTCCATAGGCACATGCGGTGTGGGAGTCTCTTGACGGCTAGCGCTATGTTCCCCACATGGCCTAATGGTAGGGGTAGTTGCTACCCCTACCGGCGGCTGCCTTTTGGCCCTTGAGCAGCCGTCCGGGTCTCTCTATACTTAGGACAATATTTAATGATATGGCCCGGGTCACCGCAGWAAATGCACTGGCCCCGGTCCAAACGTTGTTGCCATAAGCTCTGGTCCAGACCCAAACTTTCCCAGGGCCTACCCTGCGGCAGCCCTGGGTGCCATCCACCTACCCTATAGGGAGACCTATTCCTAGGACGGTTTTGCGGGGACCTTGACCCCTTCCTCCCGCTTGGCGGTTTCCTCCTCTGCCGCCAACCCCCTGATCGCCCTGAAACCGGCTCCCTGAGGCCCGGCCCCCTTGGCCCTGGCCTCGTCCTCCTCCTTGCGGCCTCCCTCCAGCCGCGATAACAGCGTAAGTTCTCCCCTGGCTCGCACCGCTATCCTCCGCCTCTAACCCCCACTCAATCTGTTCATACGGGATCTCGTCGACACTACCTTCGTCTAAGGTCACAACAAGACTATCCTTAGTCTTAACTTGCCCTGAGATAGTGCGACCCTTCCACTTATTTCCCTTGTCTAAGTCTTTGTGCCAAAAAGTGGAAACTGACGCAGACTTTGCCTCAAACGCCACCACTTCCCTGCTAAGCGCATCATACGTCATAGCAGGGTCTTGGCTCTTCACGAAGAAGTGCCCTCTAAATGTTTCGGGCATAGCCCGGTAGAAGAGGTTGACCAATTGGGGCTCTGTGACCCCGTGGTCAGGAACAACCACTAACTCATCCATTGTGCTTTTGACTGCCCTCGCGCTCTTCCACTGACCAGAATGGATAGTTTTCAGCCTATCAGAGGCTTTAACACTACGAGCAACATCAGCGAACCGCTCGCGCAGCAATTTCATAAACTCAACGAGGGGGGTGAATGTGGAATACGCAACTGCATCTTCATTGCAGATGGCAGCGCGGACGAGGGACCTCGCGAAACTGGCGGCTTCATCTTTAAGCGCATGGATCGCAATCAACACGTGCTGATTTGGGGAGACCTGTTGCAGATGCACATAAGTCTTGACGTTGGCCTCCCAATTGTCAAAGTTTTCTTCCCTTTTTCCACGGTAGGAATCAGGGAACTTGACATTGACTGGCTCCCTGCGAGGACGTGCCTCCTCCTCCTTGGGAGTTGTCGCCTTGACGCCTTCAATGGCGCCGACGCAGAAGCGTTCAGTCTTCTCGAGGCGATGGTTCACCTCGTCTCCTACTGCGCCTACCAGTTCGCGAGCAAAGTCTCGAAATCCCATTCGCATCGAGAGCACAACCATATCCTGACAGTGTAACCGGTTGAACGCGCCGAACGCGCGTTCATACCCCGCGCGACCGCGTTCAATCGCGTTCAAACGCGCTGCGCGCCACGTGGCGCATAAAATTTGAACGCGACCGCGCGCCCCACATGCGCGCGTTGCAGGCTACGGGGTGGTGCCACTCGTTCAAGAAACCCCGAAAGTGAAAAAAAAAAAGTCTCCACGGAGTACCACCAACCCCGCCATAAGTGCAACGTCACCCCCCACCACTGTGTGTGTGTGTGTGTGTGCGTATAATCCTCCTTTTTTTTTTCAAGGGTGAGGCAGAGGGGGGTAGAACCCCCTAACATGGCTCAGACAGCCCAAACAGGCTGTCTGAGGGGTCCTCGCAGCCATGTGGCTCAGATCCCCCCACCCAAATTGAGGCAGGCAGTAAGTATGAACCATAGCACGAGCTTGCCGGATATATACTCAGGATTCAAGTTCAAGTATGTGTTTCAGCAGTTATGGGTCGCTCACGTAGCTAGGCCGTGGTGGTCCGTGCACGTGATTCTCAGGGCTTGGCTGCACTACTCACCAAAGGTGCAAAACTGGAATGAATCTTCTTCAGAACATGGAGTAAATACGCCACCATATGTTTTGCCTTTTGTGCATGTTCTGAGTAGAGGCCCTTATTCCTAAGAAAAAAGGAGGAAAAAAGAAAAACAAGAAAAACGAAAAACGAAAAACGAAAAAAAAGCATGAATCTTCTGCAGAACATGGAATAATACGCCGCCATATGTGTTGTCTTTTGTGCATGTGCTAAGTAGAGGCCTTAGGGCCACTGCACGTATTCCTAAGAAAAGCAAAAAAAACGAGTAAAAAGGAAAATAAGAAAAAAGAAAAACAAAAAAAGAAGAAAAACCGTTTTTCTTTTCTTAGGAATACGTGAAGTGGCCCTAAGGGCCTCTACTCAGCACATGCACAAAAGACAAAACATATGGCGGTGTATTATTCCATGTTCTGCAGATGATTCATTCTGGTTTTGCACATTTGGTAGGTAGTGCAGCGAAGCCCTGAGACACAGACCACCACGGCCTGGCTACCTGAGCAACCCATAACTGCTTAAACATAGACTTGAACTTGAATCCTGAGTATATATCCGGCAAGCTCGTGCTGTAGTTCATACTTACTTCCTGCCTCAATCTGGGTGGGGGGGTCTGAGCCACATGGCTGCGAGGACCCCTCAGACAGCCTGCATGGGCTGTCTGAGCCATGTTAGGGGGTTCTCCCCCTCTCTCCCTCCCCCTTGAAAAAAAAAAAAAAGATCATACGGACACATTGTTTTGTTTTTTTTTGTTTTTTTTTTCCATTTTGTCTGGTGCATTGGCCCACAGCGCCCCCTCCCACCCAGCGTCGATGCTCCCCACACTGCCCACAGCCTCCCCAAACACCACCGCTGCTCCCCACACTGCCCTAAGGCCTCCCCCACCCCGCACAACCCCCTGCGCAAATGCGTCAAACGCGTTCAGGGGCGTTCAGTGAACGCGTGTTCATCACGTTCATAAACTGAACGCGAAACGCGCGCTCAATGAACGCACGGTAACATAGTATCCTGACTTCAACTAAACTCATATTGTTGTTCCTGCACTCGGGCCAAACGCTCCACACTCTGGGCAATGATCTCTACCTTTTGTTGGAGGTCTACCTGGGGGGTCAATCGTAGAGTCAGTCTTTGCACCTCCTCCAGATCTTTGACCGCTTCACTCACTGCGTCCACCCTCTTCTTCTGCTCCCTCATCATTCTTAACTTCCATTCCATCCTCTTCTCATCCTCCATTGCCTGCCGCTTCAAAACATCTCCTTCTGCTTCCCACTCCTTCATAGCGGCTTCCTGCTCATCCTTGGGGATGTACATGGCTACCTCTTCTTCTTCCCCCAAGGATAAGTTGGCGACCCATTCTGAGATCCTCTTCTCCATTTCCTCACTCTTGCTGCCACTGTACTGCCCTCGTTGTTCTCTTCTCCTTTCCAGTGGCTGATCATCTTCCTCCTCTTCTTCTTCCACCTCCTTCAACTTCGCTTCTTCTTCTTCCTTTAACCTCTCCTTCTCTCTGGCCATCTCCTCCTCTATCTTTTTCAACTTTGCCGCCTTCTCCTCCTAGAGGGCCTTCTTCTTTGACTCCTCCCTTCTCTCTTCCAGGATGGCGGCGGCCTTGGCCTCTTCTTCAGGCGTATAGGGGTGTGTGGTTGTGCCACCCTTCGTCTCTACCCTACACGCGACGGTGTTCCAAAATCCCAACGGGAACATGAAACGCCAAAGGGTCCCCCAAAGGGAGAACCCGACAAGTAACCCATACATCGGATAGTCATCCATGGTGGTGTTAGGTGCACGACAAAAAGTCCCACTCCTCACCACTTAGACCTACCCGGATACTGACCCACTGACTGACTCTCTAAGGACCATAGGGTGGAACCCTGTCAACTATGACCACTAACCTAGACCTACTCTAAGGCTGTCACTACTGAACCAATGGCTGGTCTGGAGGCATTTAAGGAGATCCCCGTAACTCCGCAAGAATTTTTTAACGTCGCAGACAGGACGACGTGATCAGCTTGGTTCTTGCCTGTGCTTTCAACCCAAAACTCAGCCTTTCCGGCCTACTGTGCCACACCGAGCAGCCTGTCGGTCTGTACCGGTCCTTGGGAGGGTTCGTATCCCCCGGGACAGTCGAGTCGTCAGACACAGATCCTCAGCCTTACTTGGTCCGGTAGGGGAGTGGTTCAAACAGACCCTCAACACTTAAAGACTGCCTGGTGTGTCAGCCTTAGCTGCCGTTTAGGCCCACTGAGTCCTACCAACTGTTTCCAGTCGGTCAGCACCGGTCCTTGGGAGGGTTAGGCCCCCCTGGAAAGTTGGATCAGCTACAGTCTCAGCCCTACAAGGTCATACTAAGGTTACGTCATCCAGACTTATCCTTCATGCACAGATTCCTATCACCTAGGACAGAAGAGACTCGATGCAGAAAGAAGAGACAGATAGACTCAGACTCAGCAAGTACCGCCGAGTGAGTGCACATCCGCAGGGTGAGGGGGTAGGGTAAGGGCTTGGCGAGATGTTACCAACTCCAGCTTGGTCAAACTCTTGGTCAATGGCGCCGGTCAACTCTCCGGTCAACGCTTGGTCAACGCAGCAAGACCCCGGTCAACACCTCGATCAACCTCCCGGTCAACGTCCGGTGTAGGGGCCGTACCCTGAAGGACTTTCGAGCCTCGGTCGACCCCACTGCGGGTCCCACTTGGCTCGACCCGCCCACGCTCACGCTCAGGGCGCGGGTCGTTCGTCCCAGGGGCACCCCCGCCTAGTGCTACGAGATGGATGGGGATGGGCCTTTGCGAGAGGGCTTTACATTGGGGGATGTAGCTCCGCTCTCACGTCAAGATGGTAGCTCTTTGGTCACTCGTGGCGTTTTTCTCGATTCATTTGAGTCTGACCAGGCAATTGCTCTTTCCAATACTCAAGCAGTCCAGGGAGTTCGTTGAGAGTTTGTCTTCTTTCCGTGCGCAGGCCAAGCGTCATCCATTGGGCCAAGCACCCTTTCATTAAGTCTAGTGGCTCGGGACAGCCCCGACGGCAACCTTGGGGTGAGGCGGCGTCGCCCGGACCCCTAGCCGCTGTATATATAGTTTTTTGCGCGAGCCACTAGCATCGCATCACCTATCCGAGACCGCCCTTAGTCTTTTCAGGGGTCGCATCGCACATGAGAGAGAGACATTCCATGCGACCTCCGCACAACCCAAGTCCATGCATCAACCATCGACCCAAGCGGCCGACCTCAACTCATCCCGGATCCATAGCTTAAGCCGGATCCAAATCCCTTCCTTTTGCCAATCTCTCACCCTAGTCCTCATTCGTGGGCCCATCCCCGTCCAAATCGTCCCTAGCTACTCACCTGCGCAAGACCACACAATACAGATGACCAAGCACAATCCCCATTGGGGTCAACACATCGGCCCTTCCCGCAAGCCTAAGTTTCCTTTGCCCTTCCATGATCCCTTGTTTTTTTGCCCCTTCCTTCCCTCAAGCAAACCATGCAGCCACCTTAGTCATGCAGCCGGGGGGATGGTTGAGTCAAACTGACCTCGTCCAAAAACAACACTCCTTTTCGTTTTCGCAAATGTTCCCAATAGCCTCGTATCCTTTCCTTCTTGGTGGCACAAGGGACCGACAGCCCTACCCTTGCCCTCGCTTTCCACCAAGTGAGGACCAAGTTCCTTCCCGTTCGTTCCCTGGCAATGTAACAGGTGAGGGTAGAGGTTAGTCACATGCCATGGAGGGGAAGAGGTGACGGAAAGGTTAAGGGCAAAAGGAGTTTGAAGGAATGGAGGAAGACGGAGGGGGAGAGAGAGAGAGAGAGAGAGAGAGAGAGAGAGAGAGAGAGAGAGAGAGAGAGAGAGAGAGAGAGAGAGAGAGAGAGAGAAGAGAGAGAGAGAGAGAACAAGAAACTTCACATCCTACTCGACTTTGCTCCTTGACTTACCCCATCCAATCCTACCCGAGGTCCCGTGCGTCCCCCTTGCGACTCTCCCCCCCCCCCTTAGGACTCTCGCGTGAACGGGCGTAGGTGATGAAGGAGGAAGGAGGGTTGAGGGCGGTCGGCTATGGTGGATGGGTGTGGGTGATGGAGGAGGAAGAAGGGTTGGGGGGGGGTACGGCTATGGTGGACGGGTGTGGGTGATGGAGGAAGGACAAGGGCTGGGGAGGTCCGGCTATGGAGGACGGGTGTGGGTGATGGAGGAAGGAGAAGGGTCGGGGAGGTCCGGCTATGGAGGATGGACGTGGGTGATGGAGGAGGAAGAAGGGTTGGGGAGGTCCGGCTATGGAGGATGGATGTGGGCGATGGAGGAGGAAGAAGGGTTGGGGGGGGTGGTCGGCTATGGTGGACGGGTGTGGGTGACGGAGGAGGAAGGAGGGTTGGGGGTGGCCGGCTATGGTGGACGGGTGTGGGTGATGGAGGAAGGAGAAGGGTTGGGGAGGTCTGGCTATGGAGGATGGACGTGGGTGATGGAGGAGGAAGAAGGGTTGGAGGTGATCGGCTATGGTGGGCGGGTGTGGGTGATGGCGGAAGGAGAAGGGTCGGGGAGGTCCGCCTATGGAGGATGGACGTGGGTGATGGAGGAGGAAGAAGGGTTGGGGGGGGGTCCGGCTATG